GTCCATGGTGGTTTAGGAAAAGAGGCAAGAAAGGGGGCTCTCTAACGCCCTACTTCCCCTCACTTTGTTAGTGACAAGGCAAAGCAGAGCCCTTCAAGGGCCTAATGCTGGTGAGTGCTATCGCACCTTCAGAACAGCCTTGTATTGCTGGAGCGATAGCTCGGTGGTTGGCAGAGCATACTGCACTTCCAGAGGACCCAGTTCGGTTCCAGCACCCACATTCCGCAGTTCATAACTGCCTTTAACTCCAGTGGATCCGACACCTTCTGTTTTCTGAGGGCACCTGCACACATGTGGGTGTGGGTCGCGCGCGTGCGCGCGCGCGCGCACACACACACACACACACACACACACACACACACACACAGATTGTGAGTGGGGACGGGGACAGAGTCTTACTATGTAGCTCTGGATGGCCTGCCATGTGCTATGTAGACCAAGCCGGCATCAAGCTTATAGAGATCTGTCTCCAGAGTGAAAATAAGTTTTTTTAAAAATCCTTTCTTTTTATTTTCAGGTAAAATTTTATGATACAAACTAGGTATATGTAGGAACGTACCCTTCCCACAGTGTCTCCCCAAAATGGGTATGTGTAGCCTCTCTAATAAATTCCTCATCCCTTCTTTGATGAAGAACACCCCCTTAGAAATTATTCCTGTGTTCTCCTCATTTGCTGCAGAAGATAAATCTTTCTCCTCTCTTTCATGCCTGGCTATATTTATTTGGACTTTGCACTTACCAAGATGCATTCTCATTGCGTTAGGTAACATCTTCCCTGTACATTGTAAATTTCCACATTGTAGGGGGTTGAGAGAAAGCTTGGGTTTTCAGATTGGAGGTGCTCAAATAGCGGGGCATAAACAAGAAGGATGGTGTTTTCCTTGAGTTTGTGTGGAAGGAGCCTCCAAGGCCATCAACAGTGACAGAGAAAGGTCAATAGAGAGGGCAGAAAAGGGCAAAACCTAGCCAGTCAACACTGTCGGCTGCTTGATGACACATGTCATCTCAGCTTCACGCCTCGCCGCTTACACCCGCACCCAGCCAATCAGACTCAAGGCCCGAGCTCCGCAGCCAATCAGCTGCAGTGAAAAACCAGGCGCTTCACTGGCTGGTCGGCACCCAACAGGCACCAATAAGGAAAGAGCAGGGCCAGAGCTCCAGCCAATCAGCGTCTGCCTCAGGACCAAGCCGCGGAGGCTGTGCGCGCGCGCGCTGCTGGCCTCGAGCTCCTGGCGTCGAGCCCCTCTTCCCAACGGCCGCTCCGGCCCGTGCTGCCCTCCGAGTGGGTGAGGTTGATGTGGGAAGAGACCGCACTGGTGAGTGCTATGGCTTTTCTTCCTGGCTTTCTTTGATACCGGGCCCAGCCCAGAGATTGCTGGGGCTGGGGTGGGGGTGTCCTTGAGGGACGTCGTCGTCGTCGAGGATGAGAAGTGGCTTTAGGTCGTGTGTCTCTCGGTCTCTTTGGGGCCCAGGTTGTCCATGGTCCCTGAGGCCAGCCTGTGCCGAGGTGGGGAAACAGGGAGCCACCGCCTCTGCCTGGCTCTGGCAACTGGCGGCAGAGGCTTGCGGCTCACTGGTGTGCGCGTGGAGGGAAGTGTTCTGGGGCCGTTGGACCCAGCTCGGACTGGAGTCGGTGTTCATGAGGTTGAAAGCCCACGGGGAAACTGTCGGGGGCCATTTTCCCAGGCTGCGTTTCCCGACATTAGGTTGACGTGCTCAAGGGTTTTCAGCGTTGGGTCCAAGTTGGACAATATGACCAGGACGTTTGGCTGGTGGTTCTCTGGAGGTTCTGGGGAAGAAGCCTTTAAATCCAAGCCAAACCTGTTGCCCAATAGAAATTAATAGTTCCCTGATGGGATCTGTGGCTTGAGCTATAAGCATGGAGCAGGAGCAGTTGTGCTTGCGTGTGACGGGGAGCTTTGTGAGATCCTCTATGCTGTAGGGAATCATCTTTACTGGTGATCTTTTATTTTATTTTTTTTTGAGACAGGGTCTTGCTATGTACTTAGTCTGACTCCAATCTTATGATCTTTTCCTACCTCAGCTTCTGCAGTGATGGAATTATAAGCATGCGTTCCCACTCCTGGCTCACTGAGGTTTTGTTTTACCCTTGTGAGGCAGTGTGTTGACGCCTAATTTCACGTCGCTGTTCAGTGGTGCTAGAGTTCTCAGAGTACTTCAGGGTACACCCAGGATGTAGACATGGAAGACAGTCCCATGACTGGACTTCATGGTCCGTTTGCTCTGGAAAATCATAAGGAAATGTATGCACTTGTGTGTATTCGGTGAGGTTAAAATATTAACCTGCATAGGCATGGGCTTCAGAGCAACCTGTGGGATTTATTTTGTTATCCATTCATGTGTAGAATGGTATTAGTGTCCAAATGTTCAATGTAAAGGGCTGCTCCTATGTCTGGATGGTGAGATCCTGAGAGGCTAAGAACCACTGGAGTAAAGCACACTGCCGTACTGTGTATAGATTCTGGGCAAGACCACACCCATTTTTCCCCATGCTTGCTGTTGATTTCATTTTTTAATTTAATTTTAAACTTTTTTTTGGGGGGGGGGTTTTCGAGACAGGGTTTCTCTGTGTAGCTTTGCGCCTTTCCTGGGACTCACTTGGTAGTCCAGGCTGGCCTCGAACTCACAGAGATCCGCCTGCTTCTGCCTCCCGAGTGCTGGGATTAAAGGCGTGCGCCACCACCGCCCGGCCTAATTTTAAACTTATTATTATTATTATTATTATTTGGTTTTTTGAGACAGGTTTTCTCTGTGTAGCCCTGGCTGTCCTGGAGCTCACTTTGTAGACCAGGGTGGCTTCAAACTAAAATTCCTCCTACCTCTGGCTCCCAAGTGCTGGCTAAGTTGTATGCCGCCACTGACCAGTGCGTTAGTCTTGTATACTAACCTGCACATCCATCTCCAGTCAACATGGGCCCTCACATATGTATCTGTTCACAGATAGTTCACTCTCAGGAGTGGACAGTTGAGGTCCGTGTGGGCTTAGCATCATTTGATCCAGTAAACTCTGGGCTCTGTATTCCAGATTATAGTCTAGGGATGTGTGGGTGGGTTTATGTGTGGGGTTCTCTCAGTACCCAAGTGGGCACTTCCTTGATGCCCTGGGACTCTTCAGCCCACAGGGGACAAAGCCCAAGAAGGCCAGAGTGAGGCCCTCTGCTTGGGTTTAAGTGAGTATTGATATTTGGTACTCGTCTTGAAGCAGCCCCCATAAGGAGGTTGAGGATTTGGGGAGGGGTTAGCTCCACAGGTCTTCAGCTTCAAGACTGAAGAATGGATTGTGAAGATGTGGAGGTGCCTGGGGTCTCTGATGGCTAGCCCGGTTCATTTTCACCTAATTCACACAAAGTGTGCTATCACAGGGTCTCATGACCCAGGTTCAGCCCCCCTGAGTGTTGACTATATTCTGTTCTTGGATTATGCTGAGTGCAAGTACTTTTTTCCTTTTATTTATTCCCATGTGCTGGTTTAAGGGAAGCAGGGAACAAATTCCCAGGTGTCTCTCTGCTCTGGTATGAGCGGGGTGTACTTGAATAGTGAACAGCTCAGATCTTCTCAGATTTGGATAATTGGTCTTAATACATGTAAATACTGTGGAGAGTTTGGGAACCTTGATTTGGGGAAAAAATGTGCTCCTGGGAAGACTTTTGCTTTAACAGGATTTTTCTAAATTGACTCTGTTCAGCTTGGCTTGGGGAGTGGACTCAGTATTTAAAACCCACGAGACAAAGGGAGGTGTGATACCTGTAATCACAGCACTTGGGAGGCTGAGGTGGGAGGACTGACAGGAGACCAGCCTGGGCTACACAGTGAGATCCTGCCTCCAAACAAAAAAGGGTGGGGAGGATAAAAAGGGAGCATTTTCTATAAAACAACCACCCCTGGCATATTGTGATAGTCTAAGTTTAACTGTAATATTTAGATAGAATCAGTACTTGTATTGCTCTGATGACATTGTTACATTAAGCTGCGTTTTGCATTACAATACAGTGAAGTATTGAATCTTTGGTTTTTGGATCCAGGCTGTGTGCACTGAGCACCTCACACATGTTCCTTGTATTGTCATTGGCCAATCCTATCAGTAGGAATAAAAATGTCAGACCTCAAGTTTGATTCAGTAATATGAGTGCTAAAGAGAACAAAGGAAGCTGGGTTTGGTGGCTCCTTCCTAGAAACCCAAGCACTTGGGAGGCAAAGGCAGGAAGATTTCCATGAGGTCAGCTTCGGGTATAGAGTGAGTTCCAGGCCAGCCTGGGCAATAGACCTTATCTCAAACAAAACAAAACAAAAAAAACTAACAACAAAACAGTGAGGCAATCATGCGTCTCTTTCCCAAATAATTCTCTTTCAATCATATGTCCTATCTATTCTCTTTAGCCTCTGCCTAGACACAGGCTGCGTTCTCCTGTGTAGACGTATTTCTAAATGGTCTTATTAAATAAAAAACACAGAGCCAAATATAGGGGTGAAAGCCTTAGAGATCAGGGAAATAGGAATAGCCACCAGCCAACCTTACCTCACCAACTCAGCAGCTCCCAAATGCGAGCTACTTCCTGTCTTACCCACACCTTTATTGCCTTGCTGTTCTGCCCTCTCATTGGTTATCTTAGCCCAGCTACCTCACTTCCTTGTCACTGCCTGTCTGTACAGACCTCCAGGTCTCTATGGTTGGTACTGGGATTAAAGGCATGTGTCACCACGCTTGGCTCTGTTCCCTAGTATGGCCTTGAACACACAGAGGCCCTGCCTGCTAAGTTATCATGATTAAGGGCATGTGCTGCCTGACTTTGTTTACTTAAAATGGCTTGCTATTTCCTCTGATCTCCAGGCAAACTTTATTAAAGCACAAATAAAATATCACATTTCAGCACAAATAAAATACCACACTCTTGACCTGTCCTTCCTTCCTTCCTTCCTTCCTCCCTTCCTTCCTTCCTTCCATTTTTTGGTTTTTTTTTTTTTTTGTTTTTTTTTTTTGAGACAGGGTTTCTCTGTGTAGTTTTTGGTGCCTGTCTTGGATTTCGCTTTGTAGACCAGACTGGCCTCGAACTCACAGAGATCTTCTTGCCTCTGTCTCCCGAGTGCTAGGATTAAAGGTATGCGCCACCGCCCGGTGACCTGTCCTTTCTTGACTCTGTCCCAGGGTGATGGTGGCAGATGATGCTCTTTGCATGAGCCTGAGAAGCAGAAAATGGGGACAGTTTTTGTTGTTTCATTCATAGTGTCTCATGTTGCTCAGGGTGACTTCAAACTCATGATCCTCCTACCTCAGCCTCCTGAGTGCTAGGATTACCACCAGCAAGTGTCACTTTTATCAGAGGAAAAATTGTTCCAAGAAAACTGAATCAGGTTATAAATCAGAAGCCAGATGCAGCAGGTTGGTTAGTTTGGGAAAAGATCAAACTTTGAAATTACCTCTCAGAGCTGGGCAGTGGTGGTACATGCCTTTAATCCTAGCACTTGGGAGGCAGAGGCAGGTGGATCTCTGTGAGTTCGAGCTCTGGTCTACAGAGTGAGAGCCAGGACAGGCACCAAAACTACACAGAGAAACCCTGTCTCAAACAAACAAACAAAACAAAAATATCCTAGAGAGGTACTTCATTAGGAGAGAGAGTCTCAGCATAATAGGGGTCTTGAAGAAAAGCCATCTGATCCCAGAGGATTTTTCTGACTTGTATAGGTTTCTATGAAGTAGCAGGAAGTTTCATACCATGTGATTTAGTCTAGCGAGATCTACATGGAGCCAGGTACTAGATAACCTTGTATTGTAATGGCGAGAGGGGGAGTCTGCAAGGCCACAGAACAGCACCGCTTCTCAACTGTATCCTAGAGAGCTGGAGAGTAGCCGGGGAGGTAGCTAACTGTCTGGGACAGCGAGAAAGGCACCTAGTGGGCCTGGGATCTAACAGCAGTGTCCCTGCTCTTGCAAGTCCAAGTGCTCGCTGCAGGGTTTCTGTTGTCATTGCTTAATGCCCAACGTCTTGGATTGCCCTTCCATGGCTGTAGGAAGAAGCTAGGGAGGGCCTCAAGTGTCACCAGCATAAGGGCTCAGGTTCAAGGACCCTGTCAATACCTCTAAGGGGGATAGCCTTACCATGGGTGACACCAAGTGGGAGGCAAGATGGGGTTTCCTATGCTTAGGGGGCTTTTGTTTACTCAGCGGGAGTCCCCTTGCTCATTTCTCCCTTTGAGTACCCCGAAAGCTCACTGTCACCCCCATCAACTATCTTTGCTTACAGAGATACTTTGAGCAGCCCCCACTTCTTGGTCATCAGTGGGTAAAGCACACCAGTGGGGCAGCTGAGTCACTGGCAGGGGAGGGGAGGGGAGGGGCTGCCTCCTCTGGGTGACGAGGCTGTTGCCAGACCCCAGCACCTTGCCCTCTACAGCTGTGGCTTTGCCTCACTTCTTAGAGACCATGTGTTTTTGTGTTGGACAAAGGTTTGTGCTTGCACACCTATCAGGAGTGGCACTTTGTGTCTTTCACATAGGAGTATCTAGTGTGTTCCCAAGTGTGTGATGTTAGGAATTAGAAAGCTCAGAAATGGAAAATATTTAACATTCAGAGGAACAGATGAACAAAGTTGTCATTTGCATTTTCCTTTTCGCTCTGACTCATCTTCCCCTATCTCCACCCTGCTGCCCCTTCACCAGCCTCACCCACCGACACACCCTGTCTGATCTAGGAAGGGTTGACACCTGCCTGCATCCAAGCTGGAACGGAGGGAAGGCATCCTGGGTCTGGAGGGAGAGAGTAGCAGAAGGCAGGTCTGAATACCTCGGAATCCTGGAGCCAAAGGGAGAAAAGCTAATCTTACCTTATTGGGTCTAGGAGGGGGCTGGAATCTAGGGAGAAACCTATGGGGACTCAGACTGATTCTTGTCACACAGCAGTCTATCAGCATCTGGCTAGTTTCTCTCCTAGTTATTTATTGCACCTATATGACACACCAGACATAATCCATGAATGTCCCAAAGTGTCTGTTAAGTGAATGAAATGATCTGCAAAGGATCAGATTGACAGAATGGAAAAAACAACAGAAAAAGAAACTTGAGTCTCGAAGGCTTTATCCCTTCCTCAAATGAAAGAGTACCAGGGCTGGGTATGGTGGCACTGGCTGAGGCAGGACAGAGATTTTAAGGACACCTTGAGCTACACAGGAAGAGGAGGAGAGAGAGAGAGAGACAGAGAGAGAGAGTCTAAAAGTGTGAAAAGAGACGGAAATCTCCAAGGGACCTTGACCCCTTGAGCAGAAAGTGAAAGAAGCCCCCTGGTTTTGATTTCAGAGAAATGTCATTTGTCATCAGCCCAGGAAAAGGAGATTTTTCTCTTCGAAGACCACCACAGGCTTCCTGGGGTTGCCCCCCCTCAGAGTCTGCTGGGAGGATCTGAGTCACACACACCCAGTCCTTGCTGTGGTCCAGGGAACAAGGGTCAGCCTCACAGAGTAAGAGGGGCTAAATGTACTAAGCCAGGGAGGGAGGGACGAGGTTCCGCCTTTGGTTCCCCTGTGCTTCAAATTCTGTTTCTGTCCTTATACTATGAGGTATCAGAAACGGTCCCCAGCTCCTCCATGCGACTATCGCCTCTGAGACAGACCTAATAGCAGCTGAGTGTTGTGCTGAACTCACAGACCACTTCCTCATGCATGCCACTTCATCTCCCCCTGCGCACACACCTCGAAAGAGCACTGATATTTGATGCATGAGGTGACTGAGGCTCAGAGAGATGACTTGCCCAAGGTGATTCAACTAGTAAATGGCAGAGATGAGGCTCAGACTCTGACTATTCCAAAGTTCCTGGCCCCACAGATTCACGTCTAATAAGGTAGAGTTAGAGTGAGGAACTGTCCGGGTTGTCAAAAGTAGATGATAGTCTCTTGTAGGTCTCAGGCAGAGACAGAAGGTATAAAGCCACACCCCTTTGGGGGACTGTGGCAGATTGATACTTGGGATGACTGAGGACAGGGGTGGAGCTAGCTGGAGGGGAGCCCCAAGAGCAGCAGAGAGCATGCGGTGCTAGGAGGCAGCTACAGAGGTGAGTGACTGTCTCCCCGCAGCCAAGCCTTTCCTCCATTCCAACCTTCTGTTCCGCCCCTGCCACCTTGCACCACTCACCCCACGGTGTCCAAGTAGTAACCCTCCCTCCTACGAGGCCCCCCCCCCTCATGGAGGGTCTGCAGGCGCGGGAGGGCTAGGCCTGCTAGGTGCTACGGCACTTGGGCTCTTTCTCCATCTCCGTCTCCAGTATTCTGGGAGGCCCGTGTGATGGCTTTGTGGGTGATTAAACTCTTGACTTGTTGGGCACTTTCTGGGCTTCATTTTTGGCTTATAAAAACAGAAATCAAACCATGCTTTAGGCTCATTCTGAGAGGAGATAGCTTCCCCTTCTCAAGGTTCCCTTTCCTTTCAGTTCCACAGGCATCACAGCCTCCTCTAAACCTCTGCTGTAGCTCTCAATCACTGGACAGGAATCTGGTCTTCCTAATTCCTTCCCTGAGATGTCTTCTAGACATGTCAGCCTCGGAGAGTGACGCCCTAGAGCCTGCTCTCCTGCGGTGTAGCTTGTCTTGCTGCCTTCTCTGGCTTTCTGAGCTCACAGTGGGGTGGGGGTGGGGGGACCCACAAGCTTTATGAGCTCTTTCATCTTACTCCATTAATGCCAGGTTTTGTGCGAAGTGAGGGAAAGCCCAGGCTGCTCAGAGGGTTTTCCCTGCAGAAGAGCCTGGGGAAGCAAAAATCTTGAAGCCTGAGTTGGCTAACTATACCAGTCCTAAACCCACTACTTGATACCTCTGCTAACTGCCTGGCTCTTGCTCCTTAGGCCCCAAACCTGACCCAGTGTGGATTCTTCTACTGCCATATCCCCACACCTTGCCTTTGACTTAGTTTGACTCATTCAGGACACACAGCTCCAATCTGAAACCAGAGACTCACTCTTTCTCCCTTCCCCTCCACAGGCCTGAGAATTTGCGGTATCTCCCTCCCCTTTCTGCCATGGACCCCCCATTGTGACTTTTCTTTCGGAGCTTCTGAACCGGGTAGATTAGCCAGGAGCCATGCCCCAGACCCCCACAAGACTGATCAGCCCCTATGGCTCTGATAGGTTGGTGCAGTTAGCTGCTCGGCTTCGGCCAGCACTCTGTGATACCTTGATCACTGTAGGGGGCCTGGAGTTCCCTGCTCACAGCTTGGTGCTAGCAGGGGCAAGTCCAAGGCTGGGTTGCAGGGGCCGGTGGGCTCTGGTTGAAGGCATCAGCCCTTCTACCTTTGCTCAGCTTCTAACCTTTGTGTATGGAGAGAGTGTAGAGCTACAGCCTGAGGAGCTGGGGAACCTTGAAGAGGCAGCCAGAGCCTTGGGGGTGCAGGCCCTGGAAGAGGCATGCAAGAGAGCTCAAAAGGACAAGAATGAAGATGAGCTGGATCCAGGACTGAAGAGGCACCAGGAGGCAGAGGAACTCATGAGGAATTCTGAGAGAGGACTTGGGGGTCCTGGAGAGAAACAGAAACCAGAGAAGGATTTTAGAAGTAATAGGAGAGAACAGGAGATGCTAAATAAGCGCAAAGCACCCGGAGAGAGCCCTGAGAGGGCAGAGATAACTAGGAAGATGAGATCAGAGGAGGCCCTCAGCCCAGCCCCCGTGGGCCACGGGGGAGCAGAAAGGAAGCAAGGAGAGGCCATAGGAGGTATAGAGAGCCCCAAGGGCTCTGAGGAGTGTCTCCGTGGGTGCCCTGGTCCCCTTTCCCCACCAGGTTCCCTCCTAACCAGCCTCATTCCCAGGCCCTGGTGGGCTGAGGCCCCTTGGTGTAGAGAGGGCCAACCTACCCTGTGGAGCATTTTCCTGTGGCCGCCCAGATATGGCACTCCCTTCTCCCTTAGCACCCCCATCACTGCAGCCTGGCAGGTCTGGCCTCAAGACCAGAGGTGAGTGAAGGGCTTAGTGGAAGACATCTAGGCTGGGAGGGAGCAGCTCAGGAGAGGCAGCAGTAAAGGGTGGAAGGGTACCACATCTCTGTACATTTCCTGAGTTAAGGAGACAACAAAATATTCCGATCATGAGAGAGGCCAGAGTTGGTTAGGTTCTCAGGCTTCGCCAAGGCTGTAATTCTTCTCCATCCAGGATCCCACTGACCTTGTGCCACTCCAAAGGTCTCTGGAGTCAGAATCAGCTGGCCTCCTCCAGCCCCGCTCCAGGTAAGCCCCTTATTCCACCCAGGGCTTCTGCACAGCGGCTGGGCTCCAGGATCCAGCCTTAGCAGGGCCCCCAATTCACTCTACTTGCAGGATCCTTTCCCCAGGGCCCTGAACAACTCAGCCCTTGGGAGATAGAAGAGTCTGGGCAAGGGCACACAGGTAAGCAGGGTAAGAGAACTGCTGCCTCTGCCCCACCAAAGCTCTCCGTTTCTTGCCAGGATGTATTGATTCAGCCTCAGGGATTCTGGTCATACCATTTTGACTTCTCTGTCCACACAGGCACACTGGCAACCTGTGTGGGTCAAGATCACACATTGAGCTGCCCATCTCACCAACACCCACCTTTACCCCCTCCTGCTCGCTCTCGGCCCTATTCTTGCTCTGTCTGTGGAAAGAGGTTTTCACTCAAGCATCAGATGGAGACGCATTACCGAGTCCACACAGGTATGGGCATCCTGCCCAGTGTGAATTTGTCTTTTTTTGTTCCCATCGCTGGTCTGCCAGCTCCTCCTTGCCCCATTGCTCGACACACCCCTAGCTTGGCCAACTTTTGCCCATTTCTTCCTTCTCTGGCTTTCTCCTTCACCTGTAGGAGAGAAGCCCTTCTCCTGTAGCCTCTGTCCTCAGCGCTCCCGGGATTTCTCTGCCATGACCAAGCACCTGAGGACACATGGGGCTGCTCCCTATCGCTGCCCTCTGTGCAGGGCTGGCTGCCCCAGCCTGGCTTCCATGCAGGCGCACATGCGAGGTCACTCGCCCAGCCAGCTGCCGCCTGGATGGACCATACGCTCCACCTTCCTCTACTCTTCCTCGAGACCGACTCGAGCCTCGATCTCTCCCGGGAATCCTACCTCCTCCTCTGCCACCTGACCGAGTGTTGGTAGCTTCCCTGGCTTGACAAGCGTCCAATCGAAGAAATGAACGGCGGGCGGGCTCAGCCTGTCTCTAGGGCTGCCAGGCTAATTTGACAGAAGCGCTGCGGGACAGAAACCACGAACCCTCTCCAGATGAGTGAGGGTTGCAGAAGTCTCGGCCGGCTGGCGGCGAGTCCGAGTCAAAGACATTTAAAGTTGGCCGGAGTGAAGATTAACTGGGGACTATCAATTTCATCACTATAATAAAGAGTTTCCTGTGTTCTGTAGTCAGGATGAGTCCAGACTTTTCGTCTGTGCGGGTTGGGGGAGGGTGGGCAGTGTGTCGGGGGGGGGGGCGGGGGGGGGGGCTGTCCAACCCTTGCCCCTTGTCCTGTAGCGGCCCCTGCTGGGCATTCATCCACTGAACAGAGGGTCAGACATTTTATTTCTGGGGATTCAGTATAATTCCCGAGGTAGCACGCCGCAAAGGCACTACAGACCCTGGGGGACGGGGAGGGTGGCTGTGAGGTCTCCAAGACTGGTGCGTTCCACAACAATTCACCGCTCGCGTACGACAGGGCTGGAGAAGAGCGCAGGCTCAGGTCGTGGTTTCGGTCACCCGTCTGCTCTCCCTGAGAGCAAGGGACGGGGGAGCAGCCTTTCCAGCATCTCCCCTCCGCGTCGTGCAATGCGGCTACCGAATTGCGTCTGGAAATGAGCCTAACCCAACATCTCCGCCCTTTCCTCAGCCCACGCCTAGCGCAGTAGCTAACTTCGTTTGCCGGTGTCGGTCGGGTTCCCAGGGTCCGAAGCCCGCGGTACCCTGGGAATGGTAGTCCATGCAGGCCGCTAGTTCCGACTAGAACAATGGGAGGAGTCTGAACCGGGGACCACACCTCCTCGAGACCAGGAACTGGCTCTCCTGATCTCTGCTGCTGACCCCGTAGTCCCAGTTCTCGCGCCCTAGCTGTGGGCGGGAGGAGCAAGGCCGTCTGGACTACATTTCCCAGAGGTCCTTGCGCCTCCCGCTCTCAGGCCGCGACGCGGGGTCTGCTTTCCAGGTGTGGTCTGAAGGTGACGGGCGTCCAGCCCGGACTCCTGCTCCCGTGGTGCCCCGCGCGTGGCCAGCCCAGCCCCCGGCTCCTGCCCGCCCCGCAGCGGCGCTGGTTGTTGTCGTGAGCCGCAGCCGCCCCGCTTCGCCCCTCCCCTCCTCCCCTCCCCCCCGGCCCTGCGCACGGGCCACCCCTCCCCCCGCCTCCCCGGCCCCTCTCACGGTGCCAAGATGGCGGCGGCGGCGGGCGGCGGCAGTTGCCCCGGGCCTGGCTCCGCACGGGGCCGCTTTCCGGGCCGGCCGCGGGGTTCCGGCGGGGGCGGGGGCCGCGGCGGCCGAGGCAGCGGAGCCGAAAGAGTGCGGGTAACCCTGCGGCGCGGCGGCGGCGCGGCGGGGCCGGGAGGAGCCGAGCCCGGGGAGGACACGGCCCTGCTCCGTTTGCTGGGGCTCCGCCGGGGCCTGCGCCGGCTCCGCCGTCTGTGGGCTGGTCCGCGCGTTCAGCGAGGCCGGGGCCGCGGCCGGGGCCGGGGCTGGGGCCCGAACCGAGGCTGCATGCCGGAGGAGGAGAGCAGTGACGGGGAATCCGAGGAGGAGGTGAGGCGGTCGGAGGCGTCTCTTGCGCGGGGTGGGGCGGAGGCCAGGGGCTTGCAGGGCTCCGGATAGCTCCGAAGGGTGTTGTGGACAAGTGGGATTCTCGGGGCTCTTGGAAATAAGCACGGAAGGAAGCAGGCTGCGTGGAGCTTTGGGGTGGCTAGGGCCTTTGAAAGTGGTCTGAGAAAACCTGACTGCAGCCAGACGCCTGGGCTCCAGGCAAGCCCTGCTGGTGTCCTGAGCTGATCTTTCGCGGTAGCAATGGCAGAGCAGGAGAGGAGTGGGTGAAGAGGCCACAGGGATTGCATGCCCGACCAGTGGTGGTTGACAGCAGCAGCGTGGCCTTAATGGACCAAGGCTAGAGCCTCATGGGCTCTTACTTGCAGGCTGCCTTTTGGGGCCTTATAATCCGCGACACCTCCCTGGTTTTACCAGTGTCCCCGTTGCTCTTTGGTTCTAAGGTAGAGTGGAGACTTCTGGCACAGGTTGAAGAGGGATAGACTGAATGCTGAGTCTTGAGTCTGGAGTGAGTGCAGCTCATGATTTATCCCTCTCAGCCTTTTGGAAAAGGAGGAGTGTGTGGATTATATTGCTTAGGAGAGCTAGTAGTCCTCTGAGGGCTCAGAGTGGATTCTAATATGATAAACCATCTGCTCCACCTTTCATTCCCCACCCCCACATTCCCCATTCCCATTTAGGAGTGCCCTAAAAGGGTGTAAATGAAGGACCTACTTGGTATTAAGTCGGAATTAGCCCTCATTATAATGCCTACTGCTTAACTTGAGGAGAGCCTTGAGTGTTGTCTTCTGGGCCAGAGAACCACTGATGGCGGCTGTGCTGGTGTGGTCTGGTTCAAGAATGCATAGTGCCTTCATTCACTCTGACCTGGCCTCAGTCTTTTAAGTTCTTTGGTAAATAAGCAGGAGTACGTTAAGGTGGAAGCTAAGTATTATATCCTCAACACCTGAGCCCAGGTGAAACCGGGGTTTTGGCACTGACTGCTGTTTCTCCCCTTCACCCCTGGTCCCCTAAATCAGGAGTTTCAGGGTTTTCATTCAGATGAAGATGTGGCCCCCAGTTCCCTGCGCTCTGCGCTCCGATCCCAGCGAGGTGAGTGATGGGGAAACTCTACCTCTCTAGTTTTACGGGAACGCTCTTGCCCTTTGTGTCAGCTCCTTGGTGGTCACCTGGTTTCCACCAGTGACTGAGTGTGTCCTGTGTTCAGAGTCCAAGCTAGCCTGGGCCCTGGGGGAAACAGACAAGTAAGACTTAGTGCCCTGTCCTTCTGGGGTGCTTTTATTAAGTCCTCAGGGCCAGCTTGACCCAACTCCCCACAACTGTTCTCCTTTTAGGTCGAGCCCCCCGGGGTCGGGGCCGAAAGCATAAGACGACCCCCCTTCCTCCTCCTCGCCTAGCAGATGTGGCTCCTGGCCCCCCAAAGACCCCTTCTCGGAAACGGGGCGAGGAGGGCACAGAGCGGATGGTGCAGGCACTGACAGAACTTCTCCGGCGGGCCCAGGCACCCCACGCCCCCCGGAGCCGAGCATGTGAGCCCTCCACTCCCCGTCGGTCTCGGGGACGGCCCCCTGGACGGCCAGCAGGCCCCTGCCGGAAGAAGCAGCAAGCAGTAGTGGTAGCAGAAGCGGCTGTGACAATCCCTAAACCTGAGCCTCCACCTCCTGTGGTTCCAGTAAAGAACAGAACTGGCAGCTGGAAGTGCAAGGAGGGACCTGGTCCAGGACCTGGAACCCCGAAACGTGGAGGACAGCCTGGGAGAGGAGGCCGTGGAGGCAGGGGCAGAGGCCGAGGCGGACTTCCCCTTATGATCAAGTTTGTTTCAAAGGCCAAAAAAGTGAAGATGGGACAATTGTCCCAGGGACCAGAATCAGGTCAGAGTCATGGTCAACGTGGAGAAAGCTGGCAGGATGCCACTCAAAGAAGAGATGAAGATGAACAGGAAGGGGACTCTTGTTGGAAGAAGCCAGAGCAGAAACTGGAGGAGGAAGAGGAGGAGGAGGAGGGGGGGAAAGAAGAGAAGGAAGAAAAAGAAGAGGACACTGAGGAGAAAGAAGAGAAAGAAGAGGAAACTAAGACAGCCGTGGCTGAGGAAGAAGGGATGCTAGTGAAGGAGAAGGAAGAGGCGAAGCTGCCATCACCACCCTTGACTCCTCCAGTCCCTTCACCACCACCTCCTCTCCCACCGCCTTCAGTATCTCCACCTCCAGCATCCCCTCTGCCACCCCCCGTTTCTCCTCCCCCACCATCCCCTCCCCCACACCCAGCCTCAGAGAAGCAAGAAGAATCTCCTCCTCTTGTCCCAGCTACATGCTCTAGGAAGAGGGGCCGGCCTCCCCTCACTCCTAGTCAACGGGCAGAGCGGGAAGCTGCTCGGTCAGGACCAGAGGGCACCCTTTCTCCCTCTCCAAACCCCAGCACCACCACAGGAAGCCCTCTGGAAGACAGTCCTACTGTGGCCCCCAAAAGTACCACCTTCTTGAAGAATATACGGCAGTTTATTATGCCTGTGGTGAGTGCCCGTTCCTCCCGTGTTATCAAGACACCCCGGCGATTTATGGACGAAGACCCTCCCAAGCCTCCAAAGGTGGAGGCTTCTATTGCTCGACCTCCTGTTGCAACCTCCCCTCTTGCTCCCCAGGAGCCAGTACCAGTCCCCTCTCCACCTCGTGTCCCAACTCCCCCATCTACCCCAGTCCCACTCCCTGAAAAGAGACGGTCTATCCTAAGGGAACCCACGTTTCGCTGGACTTCACTAACCCGGGAGCTGCCGCCGCCTCCACCTGCTCCTCCGCCAACCCCATCGCCGCTAGCTCCATCCCCACCACCTACCCCCGCCACTCCCTCCCGGAGGCCCCTGCTCCTTCGGGCCCCTCAGTTTACCCCAAGTGAAGCCCACCTGAAGATCTATGAATCGGTGCTTACTCCTCCCCCTCTTGGGGCTCTTGAAGCCCCTGAGCCAGATCTGCCTCCTGCTGATGACTCTCCAGCTGAGCCTGAGCCTAGGGCAGTGGGGCGGACCAACCACCTCAGCTTGCCTCGATTCGTCCCTGTGGTTACCACTCCTGTTAAGGTGGAGGTGCCCCCCAGTGGGGCTCCAGCTCTGAGCAGTGGGCAGCAGCTTCAGGCTCAGCTCCAGCAGCCCTCACAGGCCTTGCAGACACAGCTCCTGCCCCAGGCACTACCATCCCAGCAACCACAAGTACAGCCACAGGTACAGCTGCAGCCACCTCCATCACCGCAACACACACCACCACTGGAAAAGGCCCGTGTTGCAAGTGTGGTTCCGCTGCCACTGTCTGGGGTGGAGGAAAAAATGTTTAGCCTTCTAAAGAGAGCTAAGGTGCAGCTATTCAAGATCG